CTTCACCGGATTGCCACGACTTCTCAACTACGATGGCTTAGCAACTTCATCTGCCATTTCCTTCAGGACCCGTGGACATATCTCATCAGGTCCCATGGACTTGTGCACCTTCAGGTTCCATAGATCGTCTTGAACCTAATCTTCTCCTACAGTGAGCAACTCTTCCTACAGTGAGCGACTCTTCATTCTCCTAGTCCCTGCTTTTGCCTTCTGCGGCTTGGGTGGTGAGGCTTGAGCACTTGCCAGTGAAGACTAAGGCAAAAAAGTCATTGAACCTCCGCCTCCTCCGCATCCCGGGTAACCAGGTCTCCTGTTTCGTTCTGGAGAGGTCCCACATTTTCCCTAGTCTTCCTTTTATTCCCAACGTACCTATAGAAGCTTTTCTTGTTGCCCGTAACATCCCTGGCCAGATTTAATTCTATCAGGGCTTTAGCTTTCCTAGCCTGATCCCTGGCTGCTCGGACAATTTCTCTGTATTCCTCCCAGGCTATCTGTCCTTGCTTCCACCCTCTGCAGGCTTCCTTTTTGTGTTTGAGTTTGTCCAGGAGTTCCTTGTTCATCCGTGCAGGCCTCCTGGCATTTTTGCCTGACTTCCTTTTGTTGGGATGCATCGTTCCTGAGCTTGGAGATCACCACTTCCCCCTCCGTCGCCCCTCTTGAAGAAGTTGTAGACTGCGATGAGGTCACCCCTCAGCCTTCTCTTCTCTAAACTGAACAAATCCAGTGGCCTCAGCTGCTCCTCACAAGTCTTGCCCTTGAGACCTTTCTTGGTCCCCTCCTCTGGACACTCTAATACTTTGATGAACTTCTTATATTGAGGCATCCAAAACTGCACACAGCACTCGAGATGGGGTCGCACTGTAGAGTGGGACAATAACCTCCCTCGACTGGCTACGTGTGCTGTGCTTGATGCACCCTAGGACATGGTTGGCCCTTCTGGCTGCCAGGGCACACTGTTGGCTCATATTCAACTTGCCATTAAACCAAACCCCAGATCTCTTTCTGCAGGGTGCTCTCCAGCCTGTTGTCCCCCAATTTGTATGTATAACCAGGATTATCCTGTCCCAGGCGCAGAATCCGGCACTTGCTCTTGTTAAATTTCATATGGTTGGTGATTGCCCAGCTCTCTAGTCTATCCAGGTCTCTCTACCTTTGAGGGAGTCAACAGCTCCTCCTAATTTAGTATCATCGGCAAACTTACTTAATGTACATTCGACTCCTGCATCCAGACCCTTTACAAAAACGTTAAAAAGCACTGGCCCTAAAGTTGAGCCCTGGGGAGCCCCACTGCTGACTGGCTGCCAGCCTGATGTAACCTCATTTACTATAACTCTTTGAGCCTGACCCGTCAAGCCAATTGTTCACCCAACGTACTATGGACTTGTCTAGCTGTGTGCATTTTGTCCAGAAGGATACTCTGAGAAACAGTATCAAAAGCTTTGCTAAAGTCCAAAAAAACATCTACTGGCTAACCAATTTCTTACAGCAAATCTATTATTACATGCTCTATTTATCTATTTAATCTGCTTATTACATGGTCTGTTTTATTGCCTAGAGCACTTTAATTTCTCTAAACTTTCAGCTACACACTGTAATTGTTTTTGCACAAGCATTCATGAGCATATCATCCCACGAATACTTGTCCTTTCAGATAAAGAATTACTTTCTTGCGACTAACTTGCCATCTGCAGATAGGCTGGTAAATAAGAAGCAACACATACTGTGTCAGTGTGCTGCCTGAACATATCTAAAAAGGAGTGATAAAGAGAAGTTCTACTTCCTTTCAAAAGTTACTCCCAGGGCTCACAGCTGCTGTCTGATAGTGACCTTTCACCAGAAGTTAGACTCCTAAATTAGGTGATCTGAGTCAGCCTCTGAAAGTGTCTCTCTAAATCCACTGATTATATAAAAAGATGCTGATGTCTCAAGTGAGCTGGGAAGATGAGATGGTGCTACACAGTATATCCTTCTTTCCTGCCCTAGTTGACCAGTAAATACAGCAGCTACCTTCTGCCAGGGTTTCTTCCCACAGGAAAAAGAAAGCACGGGGAAGAATTGGGGTGGGGTAGACATGCCTGAGCCTCAGCATGACTGAGAGCCAGGAGATGCCCACACCATGTAGCCAGACTTGGAAAGTGCTAAATACTCCTCTTTATAGGCAGGTTAAGCTATTTGCTTTAAATTTAAGCCATGACAATTCCTCTTTCCCAAGCTACATGCCAAAGTATATTCAAGATGTATGAAAATAATGAAGGGACACTTTTTCAATCATGCGCTGTATACAGAGTCAGTCTGCCCATGAAATTCTCAGTGACAACTATTAAATCACATTCATCCCCAAGTTGTTGCAAAATCTGAACAAATTTCATATGCCTCTCTTCCACTTTTGCCTCTGAAAAAATACACCCCCACATGAGAAGTCAGGTGTGTGACACAGGACAGACAAGGCTATGTCCCTTACCTGACACATGAGGCACGTTCACTGTCATCTCATTCAGTAACACACTGCCATCTGATCTGAAAACCACCACCTGTATAATAGCAAATAGAATCATTGAGGTTCCAGGTACTGAGAGGAAAAGGAACTAATTAAAAAAAAAAAAAAATTAAGAGGGGAGACATTTTGCACATTCAGACTGTAACTAGAACTTAAAATCTTTGAAAGGAAGAATCTGTCTGAAAATTGAATATGGCAGCAGACCTACAGGATACAAGTAAGGTTTCATCTTGCTATTCAGTGTTTCACTTACACCTGCCTACAACAATTTATAGCAGTAACGAAATGCAAAGCTCATTTATATTGGGCACCTTGGTTTCAGCAAGTAAAAGAAAATATTGGGCCTTCAGGATCTACAGCAAGTTCCTATTCCCTATAAAAGCATGTGCCACAGCTTCAGTGTAGTCGTTTAGTATGATTCTGGCATGGTAAGAAAGCAGTTTGTTAAACTTCCCCATAAAATGCTAGTCTGTACATACAAAAACATAAAATGATGGGTTTCTGAATTGGTTTGGTTTGGTTTTGTTCTAGTTATGCTGGCAAGGACATGGAAGACCAGAAACCCAGGAGGAAAATTATGTCTACATGTGTGTAAAATTATGTATAAATATAGTCTAGATATTTCCATAGCCAAACAGAATTCTAAAGTTGAAAATACAAATATTTAAGAAGGTTGGATTGTATCAACGTTCAAAGATGGGATGTCTTCTGAAAAAGACTCAATTAAATCTATAAAATTATATCTGAATAACGTAAAATACTGTGAGGGGAAAAAGAATGGTATTCTTACTTCCAGCCAGTGTGGAATACAGTGAGAATAATCATATAGCACAGAGAAGAGAAGGGAAGAGGGGGAAATGTCAACTTATTTGAATCTCATCTTTTGTTCAGTTTAGGTCTATTTTGAGTTCTTGAGGCAGAAGCCTGAGTTGTTTTTCAGCCTGTCTGAAGTGCCTTATCTATCCACAATAGCGACTCCAGAAGAATTAGTTATTGCCCCACAGTAAGGGAAATATGCTAATTTTCAACATATCCAGCAGAACCTACAGAACACTTACATTTTTTTTGTGATCTACTAACAGCACAACAGTCTTCAAACAGGTCTGCCTGTCTGTGGAGCCACAGGGAGCCAGCTCTGCTAGGAGAGCATGACTGTCATTTACAGTACCCTACAATCACAGGGAAATAAATGTCCATTAGTCCAATCAAAAATCTCACAAGATGATTTCCAAAACAAAGACTAAAGTCATCAGTTACAATAACAATTACTGTAGAACTTAGCTATTAAGACCACCACTTCAGCGCTGGCTCTGAAAGCTGAACCGTCTTTCAAACAAATTCAATGGTATGGTTTCTAGTTCAGCAAGATCTTTGTCACCCAAGAACAGGCACCAGATATTTTAAGGGCAGATGAATGAAATAGCTTCCTAGCTCCTTTCCCTAGCTGACTTTGACACTCAGAAACAGAAACAGATACTACAGATCTGCCTGAGAGCTTCTAATCCTGAGAACCGCCAATTTTTGCAGTCTACCTATTCATGAAGCCAGAGTGATCCTTTGATTTCTTATACATGAAGGACTGCACTGGATAATGACAGCATAGTCTACTATCTGCCTAAGTTAACCATCCATTGCAGTAAGTGCCCAACTGCCCCCTAGGGCTATTACAGCCCATCCTGAATTTTCCAGTACAGATTTTAGCATTTCTGCTTTCCCCATCCAATAAAAACGGAATAAAACAACAACTCACAGCTGTTACATATCAGCGCGCAGACACTTGTATTTACTCTACAAGAGAAAAGCCCTACAGTACACAGTACCTTGGCCAACACATAGTAACAGTCTCCATGGAAGGTGTATTTCTTCCCATCAAAGGTGGTAATATGGGAACCTCCTTCCACTGAACATGTGCCTGGACAGGGTAGATCTTTGCACATCCATCTGCCTGAATCACAGGTGCTATAAACAGACAAATAATAGAAAAATGCTTGTAGATACTACAGGAGCTGAGAGCACTGAAAACATCTGTATACCTAGCAAAGAGCAAGATATCCCCAGATGTTTTAAAACTTTATCTTTGACCATTTCCTTAAGATTTCCCCTCTGCCATATACCATAGATACAAGAAAACTTTTCAGAAAGTTAGTTGTATAAACATGCAACAAAAACATTAAGTTCAGAATGTTTTCAGGAAGTCTCGTATGACTAAGTGGAAGATTGAAAAATGCAGACCCATTTACAGTCATTCAAAGAAAGGTGTATAAACAACCATGATCCTTACCATTCTTCACATTCATGGGTAATGCTTTTTCCAGGTGAATACTTCTTTCCATGGAGTTTGCAGTGGCACTGCCTAGCAGGTATGCAGCCTTTTTCAGTAATATCATCATACACAGTTCCTGTAAAGCACAACAGTAAACTATTCCAGCTCTTTCTGAAATAAGCAATTTCCACAGAGGAGAAACTCTCAGAGGAGGCATGCTCTTAACTTGACATAGAAAGAGGCTGAGATTATCAAAACTTTGAAGAATACTGTTTCTACCTTTTGTAGTATAAGACACATGGGAAACACTTTTATCCAGCTTTGAAAATCGAAGTCTATCCATTTATATAACTATACACAGATGAAAAGCATAATATAAGTATACAAGAACAATCTCATAATTTTACATGTTTAGATTTTCAGTCCTTCTGGCATACTCTGTAGATTGTCATCGTAATCTTTTTTCCTAAGGTTGACAGTAAGTCTGAGAATTTCACTCACTGTCCCTCATTATCACTCTCTGGGCAAATGATGTTCATTGTCTCAGAATTATTCAACCTAAAAACCATGATTTTCTATATATTAGCAGAAGTCCATTTGTTGAGAAGTAAAAAGCAGATTTATTACCTATCATTGTGTAATATGATTTAAATAAAAAATCATTGATTAATTAATCTTTTTTTAAAAACCTTATAATTATGTTCTCCTAGGGGGGGAAATACTGAGTGGCAGTACTAATTTTTAAGATATAATTGGACTACATTTAATATTTTAGCTATGATCTCCTTTGCCAGAGCTCTTGGTTTTGTTCCATATACAATAGCTAGAATAACACTTGCCTTCAGGGCAGAAACAACCATCCATGTAGTGTTCCTCACAAAGGCTGCTGATCTCCAGGTGTGAGCAAGTATCCATGCAGGGTGAGCTGCTTTCTCTATAGATCATGGTATCAGGACAGGTCTTGGCTGAACAAATGAGAAAGGCACCACCAGTTATTTGAGTGTAAAGTCCATCATTCCTCAGAAACCACAGATCATATCCCCTACTCCCCTCAAGCCAGTGGCGTCCCAAGCCAGACTCCATCTGGGAAAGCATGTTTGTCTGTTTCTGAACTGCTTTCCCTGCTTTTTATGTTTTCTTCTTTTGGTCTTGAATAGATCAAATTATCCCAGTCATCTGCAGCATCAGACCTCACAGTTTTTTAATGGGAGCAGAATTTCTGCTTGCTGAAAAAGATTTCTTAATAACAAGGGTAATAGAAGAAGAAAACAGGAAGAACATAGTATATAGTTTATTGCACTACTGGTATGAAATTTATAATACATGCCTACAGTTTTGTAAGGAAGGAATGAACTTAAATGTTTCACAGTGCTACACCCATGAAATATTTGTTTCTTTGTAAAATTTATATAGCTGCTTACGGCAAAAGTACTGTGTCCTCCATTCACCCGGCCGGCCACCCGCGTGTGAACACTGTCGAGAATACTCAGAGATGGTGCTGCAGAGGCAGAAGGAGTCCTCATTTCCATTACATGCACACTTGTCCTGCATGCAGGCTTGGATGTACATTTCCAAATTAAGACGCAACCAACAGTCAGCAAATGCAGGGGAAGTCAGCAACCTTTCACACTCAGCACGCTAAGGAGGAAGAGTAATAATATTTAGGAGATTTGTAAGCACCTGAGCTTCTAGACACTTCCTGTCTTGTAATAAAAACTGCTGTCTTCTGAACAGCAACAGTTATTCGAGAAAGGAAGAAGAAACCATTTGCCCTGGAAGGGACAAAGTCTTCCCAGCTCCTCACACACTAACTCCCCGTAGCACAAGGATGTCTCCATGTGCCCATGCAAGTGAAGTTCGCCACTAGGAATACTCACATGCCCATTACAGCTTGGAAGAGCCTGAGTTTCATCAGGATCTTCACACTTGGCATTGGGTTTGCTGATCTTCTGTAAATTCCCATACGTAATTGAATTGTAGCTTGCAACTATGAGAAAAAATTACAAAGAGAACTTGCTGAGCCCCAAAAATTGACAACAAGGAGCATCTGATTCCTGGGACTCTACTGATCAAGGAAAACAGTTACTATGGTATCAAATATGCCTGTCAGACACAGGTTTCTGCTCTGAATTATGTCTATTATGTCTAAGTGTGCTTAAAAATTTGAAGTGGTAACGACAAAAGAAGGCCGGTAGAGAAAAGAATAAGATGATTCATCTGGAATAAAATAATCTTAGACCAAGAATGCAGCACTGAAACATAACGTTTATTCTGGGGCAATCACAGAAATCTGTCAGGTGAAATTTGCTCTCCTGTGACGCTCCTATGCGCAATGCTTAATAGCCTACCTTCTGTGATAATTGTCAGTATGGTAAGATGACTCACCTCCATTGATAAACTCATTGTAGATTGGAACTCCATTGTAATCCCCACAGAGACCACATGTATGGTTATTAAATTTGCTGTCCAGCTCCACCTAGGTAATGGAAAGAAAAAAAAAAAAATAGAAAAGAATTATCTGGAGCATGAAGACATTCCAAAGCAAATACATTTACTCGAAAGGGAAGTTGCTAAACACCAGAAACGATGGTGAACCCAAAACTCTTAGAGAAGTAGCTATTGCAAATGAATTTGTAACATAGTTAATAAGCACAGAGTTAGATGCAAAAAATAACACAGAAAACAGAAAGAAGTGACTGAAGCTCCTGTATTTCAATAATGGCAGTAACCACCATGGTGATAAAGATGAAAAGAAAGCATTCTTAAAATCACAGGACTTCTTTTTTTCTCCTTTTTTCCCTACTGGGATAAAATTTAAGTTTTGCTGTAGATTAGGAAAGTCAATGATGGCAGTCCTTTAAAAGACAAATGAAGGAAAGTGCAGATTGGATTGTGGGGGTGCTATAGCAAAAACATTAGCTATTTCTCAGAAAGGTCCTTCTCCCTTTCTTGAGACCAGTAAGATTATCTGCATGCCGTACTGCTACCTCTATCACACTGCAGAGAAAGGAATTTTATGTTTTTAAAATAAGGTACTCTGAGTGTCAGTTGGATGAGTCAGCCTAACACTCTAGCTCTGTTCCGTTTGTGAGATTCTACTTCTGTTCAGTATACAGTAGTCTGTTAAACCCAGGAAATACCACTAAAAAAGACTTGGATCATACATACCATCAGTGCATCTTCCTGATTCCATATCAGAATCAGGCCTAATTTGGCATAAACCTTGGTGTAAATGTCATTGCTCTCAATGAGCACACCAGAGCTGTAGTAAGGTGTCTTCACACTAGGAAGAAAATCAGAGACTTTGCATTAGTACAGAAACATAAGGGCTGACATGAATGTCTGCAATAAGCCAAATACCCTAATGAATAGAGAAACCGGTCTCTATCTATCTGATCTAGCTGCACAGGATGCCTTGTTTTAATGAGGCATAAAATCCTCTCCCTCTGACATTTGATGCGATAACTCATTGCCTTTAAAAGGCAAAGCAATTTCAGAGGCAAAGCCTCCCCAAGGGTACGAGTTCTTTAAGAAAAAAGCCAGAATGTCAGACGTATTCAGCTTAATCAAAGGAAAATCCATCATCCTTGTATTAACAGGGGATATTCAAACACTCACTAATAATTTACTTCAATGAAAGAAGTAACAACATAAACGGAAGCTTTTCTTTACCAAAGATCTGACAACCATTTCAGAGAGAATGAATGTTCCTTTGCAAGGATCTTCCTGCTCAAGAGAGAGTTCAAAAAGCACAGGCAGATACAGGGACTGCCACAAAACTTTGAAAAGAAAGGAGCATGTTAAGAGGAATTCAGTAGCTTGTTTCAGTATTTAGTTCATTAGTTTTTGGTTGACAGGACCAAGCTTGTTAATGGTGACAGCACGTTAATGTGACAGAAAATATTTTGCAGAAGGCTGAGCATAGATGTTTTTGTCTGATAAAGAATCAATTCACCAGATCTCTCTCCTGTTCTTGTACGTCTGTCTTAGAGTGCACTATTTAACAAGTCACACTGCTGAATTTCATTCAGCAATAAAGGGATTGTGGCAAGCAGCCTCATCCTTTAAAATCTAAAGAACTAGGATCTGTTCAAACAGAAGTAGTGTAAACTGGAGTCCAGGCAAAATAACCAGTTCATTTTCTGCAGATTTGCCAAGATAATCATTACCTATCACGATTCATGTACATACACATACTATGCACATCTCCTCTTAACTACTCTCTTGACTGGGAGAATTTTATCTCCTAATTTCCTGTCGCTGGGATTTTTCCAACTATTTACCTCAGGTATTTTTAACATGGCCAAATGACTTACACATTGAAATACTAGGCAGGAACTCAGAAGTGATTATTTCTACTTTCTGCATTGTTCATCCTCTGGACAATGAGGCCTTAAGAGATCATGTTTTTGGAGAGGGATTATAAAACATTGGGCAGCTTTTCACCTTCCAGCTATCACAGCATGGAATATTTCTCCTTTTTTCTAATACTAGGACATTCAATCAATCAATGGATCAGGTACCAAATGGCAAATTCACACATTTTTCTACTTTACAGTTTTCACTTCAGTAGTGTGAAATGCTATTTTACAATAGCGTGACAATGGATCATACGTCGTTTAAAGAGCAATATGGGAAATTAAGTTCTACAAAAAAGTAAATACCCCATGCAGCAAAAACCTTTTCAGAAGGGATCTATTGTTTTATGAACACTACCTAAGACAAAAAGAGGCTTGGTTTAAAAAAACAATTTTTAAAGGATTTCTAAACTTGTTTTTCGTGGAGTTCTTTTTAAGATCTGAGTATACAATAAAGGGCTTTTTCAATTTGGGGCAAGAATGTATTTTTTATAACTTCATGTCATTTTGTTATGCATTCTGGTATGATCCTTGGAAAACTGAATGTCATTTTCTATCTTTGAACAGATTTTCATTGCAGTGGCTTCCAAACTTCAGAGCAAAAGCTGAATTCTGGACAAAACCCAGTCCTACAATGGGATATGAAGGATTTTTTTAAAATTATGTTAAGACATATTAACAGCCAGTTACTTCAATCTTCAGAACTATGTCTTAACCTATGAGTTGCTTCACTTGTTCCAGTGTGTACATATACACACACTGAAAGGATAGGCTAACAATAGGAAAGGCTAGGTTAAGACACTACTTGGCACCAGCAGTGGTGTCAGACTAGTTCCTTGTGCGACCATGTTACAGGAGGAGAAAAATACAACAGCTCACTGTGAAAAAGTACATATTGCCACATACAAATTAGTGTAAATTTTGACCTGCATTATATCTGTTACAATCCCTTGAGGAGTAGCCATTGCACTTGAAAGAATTATTTATGAAGATCAGAAAAAAACACCTCTCTTCTGCCACAAAATAAGAGAAAAATACTCTGGAGAATCTTCATTTTTGAGGATTTGATAGACCATCTGCTAAGGTAAACTCAAGGTGAAGCCATGAAACAAATGAAGCTATGTCATTTTATGCCAGTGAAAGACCTGGCTCATGAGCTGCATTGTTTCCTGCACAACCAGAAGAAGAATAATTCACTCAAACCTCTTCCTGACTTGCATTTAAATCATCCCTTATGCCAGCATAGGAAGGACGATTAATACTAAAGTCCCTCCCCAGAGCAATTTTTATGCTGGATTTCAAAGAGCTTTTTTCTGCTTGTGGAAATGCTCGTAGCAGTTACCTTAATGGTATACAGACAGCTATGTAAAGAATCAATCTTGCTTTTGTCTTCCCAGCACATTTCTCTGAAATACTATTATACTAAAGGAACTTACATCCGCCCATCCACCACTGCCAGTTTTGGTCTGAGGTACACCGTAAAGTCCTTGATTGTTATCAGAATATACTGGATCTCAGGGTGGTTATTGCTGTTCAGAGCACGCTGGATGTGGACAGAGAACTCCTTGTAAGACTCTCGGCAGTCAGAAGCAAAATTATACTCGCAAGTGCCAGGGAACTGATAGATGTCTCCATCAAAAGTTTTGAAATGGTTGTTTCCCCAAGTGCTGCAGACATAGTGGCCATGGTTTCTTGTCCTTCCTGTTAAGTGATGAAAAACAAATAGCCATGAAAAAAAGTGAAATGAACAAGCTAGCATCAACAAAATGTAAGTGTTGCATTTTACAGTAGAAACCACTTGCAAATATATGCACAGTGATTCCACAGATCTCAAGCCTGATCAAGTATCTGCCTATTAAGCAGAAGAGATGTGAATCTCTAATGGAAAATAAGACATTAACAAATACTGCTGAGACTTGGCTATATCTTATAATCCTCACTGAGGTGAAGGAACTTGTCTCCATGAGGTGGGGAAACTTAACCCGCTGACCACTAACAAACAGGTGCATCAGTGCAATGGAGCTGCTTTGCCAAACATATTAATTTATTCTGAATCACGGTATTATTTTTAGCAATATTAAATATTTCTAAAAGCTATTTTCTTCCTTGAGGCAACATGCACTAGAAAGGAAACAGAGTTAGGAAACCAAGGAAGTACCACTCATTCTCTGGAAGGCAAATAGGTTAAACGTTATGAAAGGACTTGTGCACAACAGGAGTTTTTAAAGAATTCCTTCTTTTCCTAACAGAAATAGTGATTACTATTACTACAGAATAGAAATTCTTCAGAAGATAGGTCAGAAAATAACCATGGTAGGAGAAAAAAAAGATTTTTTTTTTTGCAGTAGCAAAAGATGAAGACGATGATATTTGTTCCCTTCCCAGCCATCTATAGTAACAAATAATACAAATTAACACAGTATCTGATAAATCTCAAGATGTTGTAGATTAGGGGTGAACATAAAAGCTGAGCATACTTGGGAACTTGCCAAGGTACCAAAACCACACATGACACTCATCTTCACAAGATTTTCTTGCAGTGTTTAATTTGAGAAAGAGAAACTTCCAAAGGGACCTCCAAGTTACTGCACTTCGATAGTATCAATCATGCCAGATACATCCAGCCAAGCTGGTATGCTTCTCTCCCCAGAAGGAAGGCTACACAGGGATTCTCCCAGAGCTCACAGCTGCGATACCAAATGCAAGATAATGCTTTCCTCCCATTGCTGAATTCAAGACGCAGCAGACCAAGACCAACACCACAAACCTGATCACTGCACAAAATTCATCACCTATTCCTCCAAAAATAGTTTTCAGTATGAAAGCTCTATTTCAACACTTCAAACAAAGTTGATAACAAATAGAGTAAATTAGAGCTTTTACAGAAGAATTATCAATGTCCTGAGTGACAAAATGACCTTTGTCCAATGTTACTACATTCACTTTTGAAGAAAGTATTTATGTAATTCCAAAGTAACGGAAGGCACAATCATCCACTTTTTTCATTGCTGTAACAATGACCCTCCCAAACTCCTATAGTTGCTTTCTGCCAAGTAGTTGCCATACCTAGGAAAGTCTCAACACATGGAAAGAAAAATAACACGGAAAATATTTTCCAAGCACTTCAAACTGGAGATTAACATAGTAGATATAAGTACTAATCTCTCCAAAAAGAGCAGTATCTACCTGTTGGCTGAGCCATGTAGCCTTAGTATTTGAAAGTTTAAGAAATTTAAGGCACCTTAAAACTCCACTGCATTATTTAAATGCACTGCCTCCTTCTACTTCTGCAGTGGTATTTTAATTCTCTCCCTCTTTTCCAGGAGGCAATCTGCTACCATTTCATTTCTAGAGCTTACCTTTTCTTATTTCATTTGCATAGGAAAGAGCCAGCCAGAGCATAAAAAGGCTGGCAACTCTTAGCCCCATGGTGGCTAAGGTGGGTGAACTGGGAACTCCACTGAAAACTTTTCTTTATATAATATCCACTCAGGCAATTGATTCTATCACAGGGGAGGAGATACAAAGGGAGGAGGAAAGAGGAGGGGTAAAAAAATAGGCGTGATATTTACAGAAGATAAGAAGTAAACAGACAGGTATTTTTCACCATAAATTAAAGAATTCAGTATACAGGAAATGGTATAATATTGATTCAGTAATCGTGCAAATTTTTATTGCTCTATTTCGTCTACAGGATGCTATGCTTTTAAATCCTTCAAATGCTTACACCAAGTTTAACCTTTAGTAACTCCTATAACAAATAGTGAATTTTGGAGTGGCTGAACAAAGAAATCCCTTGAAAGAAGTTTAGGATGAGATACCCTCAAACAATGGCTTCAAAGCCAAAGGATTTTTCATTTTTCAACATCACCTAGAATGATATCCGTAAAAATTAAATAATGTTTGTGAAGCTCCTTGTAGACAACAGTAACCTTTACAAATAAAAATGATACACCATGCATAGTAAAATTATTTTGCAGACAATTATTGGATTCCTTTCATTTGTAAAGCTCTGGGAAACATCTAAAACAAGGTATAGCCAATACTGTGTAATATGCCCAGAACATAATTGAGATGGGGTGACAAAGTAAGTCCAAGGAATTCACAGCAAAAGAGACACTCTATCGAACATTGTCATGGTACAACAGAAAGTCCATCAAAAAGGTTGTAGAGACTCTCACAACATATTAAGTTTTAGAGAAAAAAAAAAAAAAACAAAAAAGGAAAAAAAAAGGAAAAAGGGGAAAACTTCACTGTCCAGACAATTGTTTTCAGAGAGAATCTCCCTAAACAGCTCGTTCTTGCTTACCTTCTACATGAATGATGTCTCCTGTCCCACATCAGATTCTACAAAACCTATAGGGTCAGCTTTGCTTTGTGCAGAGAAAAGTGAAGAGGGTCCTTGGGAGAAGAAGAAAGCAGAAAACAGAACCAGGAACCAGTTCAGAATGCTGCTTCAGAAATACAAGATTTCCACATGCACTGTATTTTACTCTGAAAAGTTCCTTTGAGAAAGTGTTTCTGCAACTCTCTTCAGAAGACAAAACACAGACTCCTTGAGGTAAAATACACTTATTTCAACAGATCTTTTAACAAGGCTGCTTCATAGCACTAATAGGGTTTACTTCTTAAAGCTCCCAGGCCAGGCTCTGTATTTTCACATCAAAAGTTTCTCAGTGCAGTGTCTAAAAATCCCTAATCCTCTTAATTGTTCAGAGTGTTCCTTACTTTCATTGCTCAAATTACAAGTAGAACTTTTATATTTTGTAAAACATCAAGGAAAATCTTCACTTAGCCCTTTTGGTTGCTCTAGTCAACTAGAAACACCCTTTTGTCATAAAGGCATGGTCTGGCTGTTGTTTTCTTTTATTTGATATTTTTATCTCAAGTACTGCCTACCCTCAAGCTGAACATCTTCTTGTTTTTCCTCAATACATCTCAAAAGGTTTTAGACTTTCTGCTTTTCCTCTTTGAAGATACAGATTTGCACTTCTCTCACCCTTACATAGGGTATCATTCACTCAACACTCATGACATTTCTCCTTTGGGAGTCTATCACTAGAAGAATATAGAATTGATTTTCCTTCTTGGAAAATAAAAATAAAAACAGTAATAACGACTTAGAACAAACTATTTAGAGAAAAAAGAAGAAACACTGTCTACAGAGACCTTTCCCTGATGGTTACTTTAGCAGGTCTAACTTCTTATGACACCTCACAGACATCTCCCATCTTGGAATACTCTGTCTTTTATGCCACTAAAACTCTTAGTTCAGAAATGTTTTCTAAAAATACCTAGGAGATTCCTGAAGGACTTTATTTTGAGCTTTTCTTTTCCTCCCTGTGTTTTTCCAGATAGTCTTTTGTCTGGAACTACTATTGCCCCAGAAAAAAGAGTCTCCATGACTTAATTCATATACAGTCTTTGCAAACTGTAACAGCAACTCCATGTATACAGCAGACCTGACCCCTTTTTAGATTAAATTGGATGTGTATGCTCACAGGTGTAAGTTGGAAACTTACAGGTTTTCCATTCAGGTTTCTTTGCCATGAAACTTCTAGATCTGGAACCAGCCTCATTCATTTGCTGTGACTGTGAAAGGTAATCATTCTTCACCTAAAGATGCACCATCCCTCAGTTCAATATGCTGGTGGTTTTCTCCTATGCAGGTGAGAGATGCACCTTTCTTTGGGTGATATGGATAGGTCTAACCCCTTGAAGACCCACTGTTAGCCAAGCACCACTAAATTTTAGTGACTGATTTTCTCTGCCCCAGCTCTAGCCTGCCTGTACAGGGAGCATGGTTCCTTCTTGGGCTGTCAAGTTAAAACAGGACTATTTTCCTTCTCCAGTCTTTTATTCTCAGAGTGACCAACAACTTCTCATTGTCCCTTCTTCTGACATATAGGAAGCTGTGGCTCGCTGTGACATCCCAAACTGGAGAATAAGGGAAAGCAACATGCCTCTGAGCATTGAGACCACTCTTACAGAATTTGCACTCAAGCTTACATGGCTGTGCTGATCTGGCGAGAAATGAGTACAGATCCTCATCTTCACAATTCATAAGTATTTGTACTTTTGCTAGCATTAGAAAGTGTCCCAAACTATAGAATCTCTGCTTCCTTATTGCTAGAAGGATAATGATCCTGTCTACCAGCTGCTTTACATGCCTTTCAGAAATAATCAGTCTTTGAGGTAGACATCATAGACTGTTTTATTTCATGCTCAGCTACTTTACAGCTTATTGGATTACGCATTTTAATCCAGAAGAATCTTACTGTTAATGCACAGATAACTCTGCATCCATATGTATGCATTAATTTATTTACTATAAATTGTTTGACATCCTGAAGTAATCAATCCATTTTGGAACAAATATAATTCTGCTTTAACGTCAGCATCTGTGCCTTAAGGTTACATCAATTATCTACATTTGAGTTGACCTGGCTGTGGAACTTCATGACATTCCTTGCTTCTGGACATCTTAATCAGAAGTGATCTTCCTCTTTCCAATACCAGGTGTTCATTTGCCTTTAATACCAATGATACTACTTCTTATAATTCTGCATGCACTTCAATCCTCTCCCACTACAACTGAAAACATATGGAATCCCAACTGGGTAAAAGCTATCACTGTGCAAGTGGCATTACCAGAACAAGCAATGAGAAGGAATGTTTTCATATTTACAACCCACTGCTGAGTCTTAACAGAGATAGTTTTTTTAAAGTTCCTGAAGTCCATGAGTAGAAATACAAGTTCCCATAATCTTTCACTATATGCCTGACCTAGGAGCTCCTACACCAGTGCTACAAGTGCCATTGCTAAAATTCAAAGTTTACCTAAAAAAAGTTAATTGCATGGCAAGTGTGTTTGTTATAGCAGCAGATGCAGAAGGAGAGATAAAATTGTGTTTTGAGTCATAGCTGTGTCAATGCATTGAGTGTTTCCCTACCCTTAAACTTTTATGACACTATTTCTAATCATTCCATCGGCATAGCTAACTTTTAATGTTCATATTAATTACAGTGTAAATCTATTTTGCAGTATACTTTCTGTTAAAAAGGGAACCTACACAGAAGATTATCTTCATTCTGACTCACGCTGCAGAAGAAAATGGCCTATATGGAAAATTTATATTACTTTAAGATAAAATTAAGCAGAGACCTGGCTAGGCGTATTGTTTTAGGAAGAATAAATAATTTTTCAAGAATTTGGGTTCTGTTTCTATCTGTTAACATACCAAGAGGAAATCTCATTGCAGTCTTGTCACAGCAATCCCAGGATGACCACTGTAGAAATACCTCAGAAAGTACAATTATACCTGATGACTGAAATTTTTTCCATATCTGCCGTTGTATTCCTGACTTGCTGCTGATCACAGGCTGTCAAACCAAGAAGCAATGTTCTACCAGTGATGTTGGTCTGCAGAAGTAGTCATGGGATTTTGTTCTGCTACTCTCCCACCTGCCAGCATTTCACCAGAACACACAAAACTTTCCACATGACCAACTGCACGATATACACATCACTCCCTTTATCTCAAGCACAGAGATGGGTTGTCTGAACTCCCTGGCAGCCATTCTAAAATAGCTCTGGCAAAATATAGGCAGATTATGAATTAAGAGATGTCTGACACGCAATCACGGTACTTCCTTCACCGAGATACCAGTAAGCACTCCATAGCACACCTTGACAAAAACTTAAGAAAGCACAGAGACAAGCACCAGAAGGCTGAACAGTGCATGAGAAAG